GGCTACAAGTAGTCTCACCCCTACCCGGCGCCTCTCACCATGGGCAACTCCAAAGTGGAAAAGAGTCCAAAGTTCCAAAGCCTGAGTCATGTGTTGAGGTGAGCCCGACGGTATGTAAGCCCAGCTGGGCCCCATGGGTGGAGGCTCGGCCACCAGGCATTCGCCCTCAACTTTCTGAGGAATTATGAATATCATTAAAAAATAGATTTCAAAGCAAAAAAAAAAAAGTGAACAAGCCATCATGCATCTAACCCCCCCCCCCCCTCATGGGGGGCTGTTTTAAAAGGCAAAATGAGCTATGAGTCAAAAAGAAGTATTTCTATCCGCAAACAATGTGCAGACTTCGTAATGCACAGCACTACACAAGACAGCATGCTGCACCAGTGGGCACATGTGGATACACTACATGTGGACACGATACATTACACCCCGGCTATTAAATACAGCTCACAGAACAATATCCTTTGTGAACTGTGACTTGGCCACGTCGAGCAGCTTGCAGCAGGAATCATAAAAATTGGAAATCGGACAGCTTGTACAGGAAATATGCTACGCAGGTGGCCCAGGTTACAACCCGAGTTTCATTAATTTGACTCAATTGCTGAGCAAAGATATGATAATTCTTCTGGTTATTGCTGGTCAACCGATATGATCATCCTGACAATGGAAGCTGCAGGCTTGCAGACATCCATAGAGCAACAGTAAATTAAAACGTTAACTGGCGCTATTCAATGCCACATTATGTTCCAGCAAAGATACTATCACATCTCCCCTGAAACTCAGCTCCAGGCTGGATCTATCGTTGCAATTCAGAATCTCTAGGCTGCAAAAAATACACTGTTTTTAAGTTCTTTAGAGTCTAATTTATGGTTCGCCAACAGCAAACCGTGTACACAGAGGTTCTGCAAACTGTAAGGGAAATCAAGAAAAAAAAAAAGACAAAATAAGATAAATTTGTTTTTAGCCAACTTGAAACACAAGTGAGGACAAGAACAGCCAGTGTCCCGGGAGCAATTGGGGTTAAGGGCTTTGCTCAAGAGGTCAATGGCCAATTCACTCTGATGACCACAGGATTTGAATTGGTGAGCCAATGATCACGGGCAAGGTCCTAACCCAAAGGGCCACAATGGACACACAATCTAACACAAACAAAAAAAAAGAGTTTTTGTTCTGCATGAAACTTCTACAGCTACTCTGTCCACCCAGCACGTCTTTGCCAATCCAACGACTGTTGCTTCATCTCAGGGCTGTGGAATCGGAGTCGAGGAGTCGGAGTCGGAGACAATTTTGGGTACCTGGAGTCGGAGTCGGAGTCGGCAAAAAGTTAACCGACTCCGACTCCTACTAAATTTAAATGGGAATTAAGACTACACTTTGGAAGTAAGTTGAAATGTCCCAATTCACAAACAGTCATAATGAACTACTTCTCTGCTGTAAGAATAAAGCCCAATGCATGCAGTGCATAATGTTACCACAAAACGAACATGTCACGTAACCATGAAGCATGCTTTTCATTGACTGTATGCGTCACTATATGAGATGTAATGCACAGGTAAGGTGCGGCACCGCTTTCCATTGTGTCGTGTTCCACTGTTACAGGGAACTGTGAACCTAGCCTAAAACCCCCCATACATTTACAGATGCACTGCCGATTTTTCGGCCGTTCAACGAGTCATCACGCGTCAAACGCCTGAAAAATCATCTGGTGTGTTCTCAGCTCCGTCGGCTCCCCTTCGCTATGCGCTACCCTTGAAACCTTGTTTTCAGTGTTTGTCTTTAATCTGGCATTATAGTAGAGTGTTGGCTTCCTAGCCAGTAGTTCTGTGGTGAAATGACATGTATGTTGCCTTCCTTTCCTTCAATGGATGTAGAAAATACATTAGCATAGTATATACATACAGAGGAGTCGGAGAGTCGGAGTCAGAGTCGGAAGATTTAGAAACTGAGGAGTCGGAGTCGGAGCATTTATCTACCGACTCCACAGCCCTGCTTCATTTGACTTCCTTTGCGGGCCCCTGGAGGATGGGCTCCCCTTTGAGTCTGGTTCCTCCCAAGGTTTCTTCCTTCTAGGGAGTTTTTCCTTGCCACTGTCACCTCTGTCTTTGCTCACTGGGGGCTTTTGGCAGGAATAATATAAAGCGCTTTGAGACAATGTAATGTTGTGAAAAGTGCAATACACACAAAGCTGAACTGAATGGACAGTGGGGGGAAACCGGACAGCAGGTGTGTTTGCTCTTCCTAATTATAACTAACCTACAACAGGACTGACATCACTCGTTTTCATATTAAGAACTCAGGGAGTAACAGCAGGCACAAATTCACATAAAATATCCGACTACATAAATGGGTAAATAAAGTAAGTTTCAATAAAGGCATCGCCTGGGCAATACATTTACAAACACAGACAGCAATTACAGCGGAGTAGTAGAAGGGGATAGGTGTCATTACAGCGGAGTAGTAGAAGGGGATAGGTGTCATTACAGNGAGTAGTAGAAGGGGATAGGTGTCATTACAGCGGAGTAGTAGAAGGGGATAGGTGTCATTTCATTCATATCTCAATGACCCTTAATTATTAAATCTATTTCTCTGGTTCATTGTAACTCTTCTACCTCCTGATGGTGGTTGAAGTTGCAGCAACTCAGAACATCATTTCTTGTCCAAAAAATGTTTACTCATAATTGCCTGGACTCAATGTTGAATTGCAAAGATTTGAAGAATAATTCAGAATAATGGCAAAGAAACCAAATAAAGAAGACGACTCTGAAAATGAGCACATCCAGTGATAATTCAACCAACCAACCAACGACACATCCCTTAAGATGAAGCCAAGCTGTTCAAGAAACCTGATGCTTGTTATAACCTATCAAGACGCAGAACAAGCAGCCACAACACTTAATAGTAACTAAAGCATAACAACTTGAGGGCTCAGCTGACATATCTTTTCTGCAGAAAATTACAAGAAAGCATCCATCCATCCATCCATCCATCCATCTTCTATACCGGCTTCTCCAATGCAGGGTCGCAGGGGTCCAGAGTGTATCCTAGAAGCTACAAGCACAAGGCAGGGAAAACCCAGGATGGGACGCCAACCCACTGCAGGACTCACAAACCATTCACACACATTCATAAGAGAGAGAGAGAAAACTACCAATAAAAACACAGAATTCAAAGGTGCTCTTGTGACTCCTTGTAGCTCTACCTAGATTAGGCCTGCAGAGTCCGTACCGCAGCAAAGGCGTATGTAAACAGGCCTGACCAGGAGACCACTGCTCCTGTCACCACCTCAGCCGGATACCGGTGTTCTGACAAAACGTCCTACTTTATCAAAACATCCTACCGTAGTGCTAATCAATAGCCCTAACCCTAACCCCCCAAAAACCCCTAAAACTCTTACCTTAACCCTAACCCTAACCCCTAAAACCTAACCCTAATCCCAAGTCGGTGGAACTGCACATGCGCAGAAAGGCTCAATAGCACGTCTCGATAGGTAGGATGTTTTGTCAGAACACCGGCAACATTTCCAGCAGCTACTAGAGAGGTGTGTGGCAGAAGGTATCGCCTTCCTCAAAGGGAAATGAAGGGTTCACAGGAAGCCTTAAGCCCTTCCTGTTTCATCTCAGGTCTTGTTGGGAGGGAAAAAAAAACGTCTGGGAAGATTTTTCCCAGGCTGGGCGAGGCAAAGCCATCTGGTCCCAGTAAGCAAGGGGTGTAACTAGAGAAGCACTGTGACTGCCTGGGGGGGGTTCCATGCTATCATTACACCTTAAACCCGGCACACTCCAACCGCTAAACACCCCTCCATCCCTACCGCGTTAACTCATGTCAACTTTACAGCTTGGGTAAAGTCCAGCGAATGTGAAAAACAGCAAAAACATGAAACATGGGGAGACTACACGAGATTCGATGCCACGAATAAAAGAGGGAGAGAGGAAAAAAAATAAAGGATCAGAACCCACGTACCCGTCTGTGCAAAGGGGAAGGAGACACGACAAAGCAATATGAAAATCCGGTTGCAGCGTTATCTGTGGGCTCAGCCAAAGCAAACAGCAGCGGCTACGGCGGCGCCGTGAATGGCGGGGGGCGGTTACAGCGCAGCGAGGGTCACAAGTTTAGAAACGTGAGATGGCAGGAAACCCCAGCTGTACCCAAAACCTGCGGGTTTAATGGCAGTGATTTCGCCAGTGAATTCAACTCAGTAGGTACGAGCTTCTTGCTTAGAGCGTGGAGCCTATTTTACGCGGCTCTGGAGTCATACGTGATTTATTAAACCGGTTGTTTTTGACATTTGTTAGCAAATTATGGTTATCCATTTGTTTCACATTTTGTCGTATCGGGTTTCTTTTACTGCCAAATATAACATAAAGCAGCCAAAGTGTGTATTATATATAAGATAGTAAATAGCCCTATAGAATTTAGTATAAACTAGGGAATACAACACAAAGTAGGACTATCACTATGGAAAAACCTGGAGACCCCCCAGGCCCACCGGCCCTACCGTACATACATTAGCCCCAAAATAAGAGGGGGTTGTAAAATAAACTATAGGAAAACAGCCCACATCCCGATTTAATGCATGCCGTATTTTTTTCCCAGTATAATTCAAATATTAATATAATCACTTGTGGAAGAAGCCAACGTATGACGTGAAGGCTGCAGGTTCAAATGCCAGGAAGGAAGCTTGCGGGGAGAGGAAAGGCGAGACTGTGCTGTCCTGTCATCGGCATAGTGACCTGCAACTTTCCGGTCATTTTAGTTCTTAATGCAAAAACAGGTGGAACATTTTAAACCGAGAAGTTTTTTAAGTCAATTAGCGGCCGCGAAGCATGTCAGACCAGTGCGGCTCCCGATTCAGATGTTAAGCGAGTCACACTTTAATGCCATTTTACCGCGAATTACGCACATTTTAAAATGTGAGCCAGTTAAATTGTGACTAATGTGATACAACGCGGTTTACTTGTTCTTTTACGACAGATATAAAAGCAGGAAAAACGTAAACTTACCACTCACGCCCGATGATTGGATCCGTCTCCAAACAGAATAACAATCGCAAAATAAACTCAGGGAAGTCGGGAACGTTTGTTGGACTTTTACTTAATTCTGTTATACGTCTTGATTTCCACTGATATGTATGCAAAGTTGTCCATTTTTAATTTATCCTGGTTCTTCTCGCCGTTTACTATGAGAGTTTTTCCGGTGTGCCTGAAGATCTGTCTTTTCTGTTTTCGAAGAAAGAAAAATGGAGAGCCACGTTTGTTGAATCTCTGCAGTTAGGTTATGCTTAAGTTCCTGGCGTTAATTCGTAACATTTCCCAAAAATCGTTTCATGCAATGGCCAGTTGGCTTAGAGCGTCTGGAAAAAGTTACCAGACCGAAGGGTTTTCCTTTTCCCCTCTATTCCCTTTCTCTCTTCTCCGCCTCCTCTCTGTCTGCTTGGCTTCAGCTGTAAACTGATGCACATGGGACCGTCGGTTACTCAGAGTCTAAACTTTTTTTTTTTTTTTTTAAATAGTGAAAGCCTTTCTTTCACTCCTCCGCTGCCCAGAGAACAGCTGAAAACACCAGAGCGAAGAGCCTATTGCTCATAACCGGCCGCTCTCTTTGGACGAGGGAGGGGAGAGGGAGGGGGAAACCCTGCAAGAGGCTGATGCCAGCAAAAGTGACACAGCGAAGCATGTCTCCATCATCATTACCAACGTGATAGGCCTATATATTTTTCAAGCATAGAAAATCCCAAACGTGTGTAAGCTATCGTGTATTAAAATGCAATAGTTATTTTAATGTGCATTAAGAACTTCTCATGCGAGCGTATAAAGGAAACATATTATTCACGAGCTACAACAGTACAGTCAGAGGGTCAGTGTCTTTCATCTTAATGGGGAGCTACCGGAAAGGTATAGAGCTACTTGGCCATCGAGCTGTCATACTTTTAATTAATTGGACTTCGTCGGGGTTCCATGTACATGGGCATGAAAAGCCAGTGTTGCCACCCAGGAAGACACGCAGAATTTTGCTCTGCCCTAAAATGAGCCCTGTTACCTCTCCTGTCAAATAAACCTGAACACCGACAATATGACGTGCTTAATGAGCCCCCCAATAAAGTGGGTACATACTATTTTTGCAGAAGCATTATCCACGCATTTCACAGCTGTAACGCTAGGATGCTAAAGCTTCATGCCAATCATTAGCAAGTCAATATGGCGATGTATGTTTCTGTTTATTAGAGCACAGCCAGTCACAGACCTTCTGTTTTCTTGCCGCATGCGTGAAGTGTAGCTTCCTAATGAGCAATTGTGTTCTCCGTTAATCAATGACAAGCTATGCCGTCTTTCTCTGAATACAGGCCTACTGTGAAGTGACGAGGGGTTGTCTTTTGTCCATCCTCCCACCTCCTCCGGCTCCAATTCGATTAGCCTAATTTCACACTGCATGTTATTTGAGTTTTGCATTGCTGTAAACTGCTTTGGTGACCACTGGTTATTGACTGATTATTCTGTTGTTCCCTAAAGCTAAATTGCTGAATTCTAGTTTCGAGGTGCATATTTCTTCCTCTGCTCTGTAGGCTATACTGTATTTTGTTGTGAAACAGCAGACAGATGTGACATGTGTAGGCTGCAATGATGGTTGGCTGGATCAGGTTTTTTTCCAGCCTTTCTTAAATCAGGGACCACCAAATGAACAGACCAGAGCTTGGGACGCCTTACAATTAATGAGTGAGTTGATATACTCACTAAGACCAATTAAATTGGGTTGCCCCTTTAATATAATAATAGATACTTCATTGATCCCCATGGGGAAATTGTTTTTACACCTCCCTCAACTTGCTCTTTGTAGAGTAAGTTGTCCACAAAGGACAGCCACCTGTTGTGGTGCCCAGGGAGCTGGGGGTTAAGGGCCTTGCTGAAGGACCCACAGACATGCTGAGGCTGGGTTTGAACCAGCAACCTTGTGATTACAGGTACACAGGTTTAGCCCACTGAGCCGCACGCTGTTTTACTCTGTGGTGGGGGTAGGGGTTGGAGATCACGCACTTCGTCATGGTGCAGATGACTAATGATGAGATACATGAGAGAATCAAGCTTGCATTTTGTTCACTTTTCTTAACTGTTGCTGCAAATACCCCCTGCAAATACCCTGGAGAATGGAAAACAAGTTGAAAACCCTTGTCCTGGAAAATCGGGTTTGTGTTAAAAAAAAAATCACTGCGAAGAAAACCTTACTAAATGCATCATGGGAATGTCCACGTTATATTCCCAGAGTTTCTGCTGTAGTCAGCTGAAGGTTACTGTAATCCAGTAATGATTATGCCTGTTGTTATGTATGTAATTGTCACTGTCACCATCCATTTTATGTTCCAACTCTGGCTTCTCTGGAGCACAGTCGTATCCTCCCACTTTGAGACATGTTGGTGGGACACGGGGGTTTTGATTACATGTTGTGTGACATGAAACTTCTTGGCATAACGCCGGTCCCTCAGTTCCATGGTTTCCAGATGCCAGTAATTGCACACAGGAATCTTTACACTTTAATTTAAACTTTTATAAATAGGATTGTGGCTTCATGCAGAACGTCCTTCGATCTTCTCCTCAGATGTAGGCCTACCAAAGAAACACGCTGTCGAGTCATGCTTTTCTAGCAGTTTGCTGCAGAACCTAGCATCTGCATTGTAAGGACTACACTTGACTGGACATGTTGAGCTGTGAAATGGGGCAGTCTGCAGTTACGCAGCTGGGATGGGGTACTGCGCTGCTTTGTCAGCTGATGTCCATGTGCATCTTTTTTTAAGACAGCAACCCCTTCCAGCGCCTCTCATTGTGTGTTGGGGGTGGGATCTTTCAAAGAGAGGCAGGTCCAACCAGATGACTCTGGCAGGAAGTGGTTACCACAGTCCAGATGTGGGGAGAGGTGGAGAGAACGCTGGATGCAACGACTAAGCAGAGGGTCTGTCTGATAACTGCTCCCAGTTTCTAATAAAGCACGCTTAGGGTGAATGTTTAAAATCATTTTGCTATGGGGTAAATGAATGGGTGTTTAAAAATCACAGCGCAAACCAAGAAATAGTATGACAGTAAAGTTTTAATTTCACCGGTGCGTAAATTGCAGTATCTTACAGAGATGTAATCTAACAGTTAAAACTACGTAAGGTATATTTTGTGTAATAATCTTAATTTTTTTATAATAAAAATTAATTTTTGTAGAGCTCATCACGTTCATGATATCTTTACCCAAATCTTATTAAGAAGTTCTCCCTCTAGCGGCCATGGAGTATATTCTCATCATCAGGATACTTATTAAAAACACATGACTTTTTTTTTTTTCGATCAGCGCATACAACCCATATTTGGTGCGACCAACAGATGTTGCCCTTAAATCTCTCTTCCACATTAATATTTCCAGTATCAAATAAACATGCAGCGAGATGGCCGAGTACTTAAGGCAATAGACTGGTAATCCATTGTGCTCTTATGTGGGTTTGAATCCCATTCTCGACGGTGCTTTTCGGAAGCTTAGCCTAACTGCCCTTATAGGGGTCTGGGTGGTTCAGAGGGTCCCAGGGATAGCAGAATGATCTCACCGCTGGACCCTTGAGCCAGGCCGTTAACCCCAGTAGCTGGCTGACCATGCTTTGGATGAAAGTGCTTGCTAAATTAATGTTAGATTTTTTCTGGCAAAGGTGTAAAGTTCTCAGTGTTTACATTTCATAAAACACTTTAAGTGCCTCCTCCTGTAAGAAACATTACTAAGGACACCTGCTGATGCTTAAGATCGTTTTGAATTTGATCCTGATGCTGATATTTTACACAAAGCAATGTCAAAATCTCACAGGAAGGCAGGACGCCTCATATTGCTCTTACAGTCAGTTTCCTTAAAGGTGCATAAAACCAGAGGCAACACAGGAAAACTACAAGCCAGTACTGGCAGTACCTGCTCCTGTTTTGGGTCCAGATATGATCTTCATGATGACATTGTCATTGTCATTATGACGCTTAAGGCAGTACAGAACCTGACAACACGATGCCCCAGGATCAAGTCAAATATCTGGTACAAACATTTTTATTGAAAATGGAGGTCAAAAGCTTGGTCAGACTAAACATCCAGGAACAGAACACCCCCAGCAAACACAGGACTGCCCCCCCCCACCATCCATCCATCCATCCATCTCCCGACAACTACAAATAACTGCAAGAACAATGTAGTAGTAAACTTATACTGACCATTTTGCACCCATAAGTTTGGTGACAAGTGGGGGTTCAATCTGAGAACAACGCAAGGTGACATCTGTCCTAACAATGAATAAAATACAGTGGGGGAGGGAAAAGTGGGAAAAGAAAAAGCTAATATCAAAACAGAAATTAATGGTTCAAAATAAACATGGGTACACATTCCCCACAGGAAGCTGGAGCCGTCTCAGCTCTTCCACAAAGCCTTCTGTAGGTACAGGCAGGACTCCCCCTATTCTTCATCATCATCGTCAATGAGCACCCGTTGACGCCTGCGTTTGGCTGGAACGGACGGCGAGTCCTCGTCCGAATCGGGCTCTCTGTGATTCACTGACACATCCTCTGCTGGAGTAAAGGATGATTTCAGATTAGTGGTTGCTTATCAGGGAGCAGAAGCTGGTTAGCGAAACCTAAACTCAAAGATCTTATTCACACGCAAGTCACTCTCCACGACTTCATTTAGATATGGAAGACAGATGAATGTACACTTCTACAACTGCTTAGAGTTGGGCAGCACCCTGGACGGGATGCTAGTCTATCACAGCGCATATGGCAATCTACCACATTTACTGGACTGCTGGCAGAAACTATTACACAGAAAACTCCACACAGACAGTCAAGCTTGGAATTCAAACCTCTAACCCTGGAGGTATGAGGATGCAGTACTACCCAGTGAGACCCTGGGGGGGGGGGGGGAGACCTAAATGCAGATGAAACACAGCATCCATCACCTGTTTCATCATCACTGTCCAGCACTCTGCTCCTCTTCACAGAGTTCCTGCTCTCCTCCGGGGCTCTAGGGGAACAATGCAGCAGGATCAGAGAAGAGCGCTGACAGCTTTGTGGCTACATGGCGGGGAAGGCCAATGCTTTCTGAGCACCCAGTTCACCAGGGCTGGGCGATATGGAGAAATATTTCATCAGGAGAGTTTTTTTCCATATTGGTCCATATCGATAATTATTACAATACAACTCATAAATAATTATTTTCAAAAAATCATTATTTCTTTACTTTGAGGATCCATTTATGTTTAAAATTCCCTGAGGACGCCCGTTTAACAGACTCTCCGATTTATCAGGACATGAAAAAGATAAAAAAATTGTGCATGCTTTCTGGAAACCGCAGGGCATAACACTAGCAATAGTGTGGTTTATCGCTCAGGTTTTTTCTCTGATTGCCTGACTATTCATTATGGGGGGGCTGACATTCTTGGTAGAATTTGACATTGAAATTGCTGGTAGAGTTGCCACCCCCCTTGTATTGATACATCAAAATGCTGTATCCCGTTTTGAACCAATACGGGGCACGACTGAAAGTTGCAGCACTAATTGCTAGTGTCTGTGACTCTAAGCGCTTGCATTCTGTATGAAGGTTGACGTCAAATGCATCATAAACGTTAGAGCAGACAGGACCGCAAGTACAAGTATGGAGAAGTATGAACCAGCCTTTAGGCTCCGTTTCAGAATCATAAGGCATGACCAAGAGACACAGGGCCAGCACAGCCTGGAGGAAGGGAAGCCTCTGCCCACATCCTCCTGCGTCCCTCTCTCTCTGCTTACCTTGGGGCTTCCGTGTCGGGGTCCAGCTCAGGGTCATTCACTGTGGGAGACTCATCTGGAAAAGGGAAGAATGACAAAACGGGATTAAATAAGAGCAGCGTATAGTGTGCATGGGATGTGCGTGGGACGTGGCCAAATGGATGCAGGTGCTCACCCCTGTGCCTGCCCGCCGGGGCTTTCCGCTTACGCTTCAGCAGCAGCGCTCGCAGGGCCTGCACCCTCTGCTCATGGCTCGTCTCCGACTCGCTGTGCACCTCCACAGGGCTCCCCTCAACACCTCCCTGCTCCTCCTCCGTTGGCGCCTCCTCACTCACGGACAGGGCAGCGGCCGCTGCCCGCAGCTGGGAGGCACTCAGCTTAGTAGGAATCCTCCAGAATGTCTCCTACACCCCCACAACAAACGCCATCACAACACTTTTAATACACTTGTTAAAATGATTTTATAGAAGCCAGAGAAACATACTTTTACTTCTCCTTCCTATACTTGCAAGCCTATCAGCTATAAAAATTACATTTTAAAATACATTAAACTCATCTCTCATGTACAGTGAATACGTAGCACTGAGAGAGGACAATTCTATATTTGTGGTGCTGTCCGTTGGCAATGTGCCTACCTTTACCAAATTTAAACTAGTCAACATTAAACTTGCACTAATACATCTTGGGAACTTGGGAATTTTTGGGAAGTCAAAAAAGATGCCCCATGTCTTGTAAAATTGAGTTGTACAATCAACCGCACGACAGCTTTCTCGTTTTAGTGTTGTTTCTTGCGGCATTCAAGCCGAACGCTTATGCTGCCGCTCAATCTGTTTGCCACTCAGTGGGTGTTCCGCAGGGACTTCCGCCTGCCGTGACATCATGCGCATACCCTCTGCAGTACCAGGAGAACATCAGATAGGCAGGTGACGATCTGAAGGTATTTTACGCTTGAAATATCTAGTAGCACAGCTATTTGCATTCTTTGTAAAAACAAAGTTTTGAGAGGTGGATGTAGTGTTTAGTAGAAAATCCCACTACACAAAGCACATGCAATTACACGCAACGTGAGTAATATGAGATGACGATGATTTCGGAGTCACCTGGGCGGTTTTGCACACTCGCTACAGCTTGTGATATACAATGGAAATGTGTTATGCTACATAAAATTCGATCAACTGGGGACTAGTAATTACTTAGCAAGTTTGTTTCCAACTCAGTCTCAGATGTCAATCACTAGCTGATCTAAATGATTTCTGAAACCCCAAGCTTGCGGAGAATCATCCCTGCTTTACATGAATGTATAGGAACATTAATTGTTCAGTCATCATTCAGGAGGTGTCTTTAGGAACAGAATCCAGACAGCAAATATATGGAGCGTTTTTTTTTCTTCCAAATATTAACTCAATATGCAAGAATTTTTGGCATATAGATCATAGATGACATGTTAAGACTGGTCATGTAAGGGCTGAGAAATGCAGCATCTCTAGCACATTCCTCCCCTTGATTCTTTGCATTCCCATCAGGCCTTGCAGCAGCAGCTGACACCAATACCCAGAGCAGTTCCTAGACACACCCACCTGCTCATCGGCAGGTGCCCTGACTCCCAGCTTGTGCAGCAGCCTCTGGAAGCTCTTGGCCTCCATGGCATCCTCGTTCTCCTCCGTCAGCGGGACCAGAGGTACAGCTTGGGACACACCTAAGTTAACGAAAGGAGGATGTTCCTTAGTACGTTTGAATCTGGGTGGCTCTTCCTGAATACCGTCAGATATTAAAGTTGCTCAAATTACTCACCATCTTCTTCACGGTAGTCTGCAGTCCTGTTCAGACAGTTCTGGAGCCATAAAATGGGTCCAGACATACCTACAGACCAAAACAAGTTATCCACCTTGAACTTCTTGCAGCCACAAGTGAGGTACATATGAGTTAACTATTACACAGAGTAAAGTTACCCTCACCTTCCTGTCTAAGAGACTGGACCATCGGCCCCAAATTGAGGTCCTTCTCTACTCTCATCCCTTTGGTCCTCTTCGGTCTCTCTTGATGTCGAAGTGACTCTCGGTCCGGCACCTCTTCATCGTCGCTCTGCCCCAAGTCATCTTCCTCATCTTCATCATCATCATTATCATCATCAGAGGGCTGCTCATTTTGCCCTCCTGCTAGGTCAGAGAAGAAGTCTTCTTCCGTCTAAGAGAAATTAAAAATCCGAAAAGGAGAAGCATGGTTATTCAAACTAAGTGTGTAATTTACATGAACAAAACTATTCTTTTTTTTTTTTTTTTTAAATAGTGAAAGCCTTTCTTTCACTCCTCCGCTGCCCAGAGAACAGCTGAAAACACCAGAGCGAAGAGCCTATTGCTNGGTGCCCAGGGAGCTGGGGGTTAAGGGCCTTGCTGAAGGACCCACAGACATGCTGAGGCTGGGTTTGAACCAGCAACCTTGTGATTACAGGTACACAGGTTTAGCCCACTGAGCCGCACGCTGTTTTACTCTGTGGTGGGGGTAGGGGTTGGAGATCACGCACTTCGTCATGGTGCAGATGACTAATGATGAGATACATGAGAGAATCAAGCTTGCATTTTGTTCACTTTTCTTAACTGTTGCTGCAAATACCCCCTGCAAATACCCTGGAGAATGGAAAACAAGTTGGTCCCTTGTCCTGGAAAATCGGGTTTGTGTTAAAAAAAAAATCACTGCGAAGAAAACCTTACTAAATGCATCATGGGAATGTCCACGTTATATTCCCAGAGTTTCTGCTGTAGTCAGCTGAAGGTTACTGTAATCCAGTAATGATTATGCCTGTTGTTATGTATGTAATTGTCACTGTCACCATCCATTTTATGTTCCAACTCCGGCTTCTCTGGAGCACAGTCGTATCCTCCCACTTTGAGACATGTTGGTGGGACACGGGGGTTTTGATTACATGTTGTGTGACATGAAACTTCTTGGCATAACGCCGGTCCCTCAGTTCCATGGTTTCCAGATGCCAGTAATTGCACACAGGAATCTTTACACTTTAATTTAAACTTTTATAAATAGGATTGTGGCTTCATGCAGAACGTCCTTCGATCTTCTCCTCAGATGTAGGCCTACCAAAGAAACACGCTGTCGAGTCATGCTTTTCTAGCAGTTTGCTGCAGAACCTAGCATCTGCATTGTAAGGACTACACTTGACTGGACATGTTGAGCTGTGAAATGGGGCAGTCTGCAGTTACGCAGCTGGGATGGGGTACTGCGCTGCTTTGTCAGCTGATGTCCATGTGCATCTTTTTTTAAGACAGCAACCCCTTCCAGCGCCTCTCATTGTGTGTTGGGGGTGGGATCTTTCAAAGAGAGGCAGGTCCAACCAGATGACTCTGGCAGGAAGTGGTTACCACAGTCCAGATGTGGGGAGAGGTGGAGAGAACGCTGGATGCAACGACTAAGCAGAGGGTCTGTCTGATAACTGCTCCCAGTTTCTAATAAAGCACGCTTAGGGTGAATGTTTAAAATCATTTTGCTATGGGGTAAATGAATGGGTGTTTAAAAATCACAGCGCAAACCAAGAAATAGTATGACAGTAAAGTTTTAATTTCACCGGTGCGTAAATTGCAGTATCTTACAGAGAGGTAATCTAACAGTTAAAACTACGTAAGGTATATTTTGTGTAATAATCTTAATTTTTTTATAATAAAAATTAATTTTTGTAGAGCTCATCACGTTCATGATATCTTTACCCAAATCTTATTACGAAGTTCTCCCTCTAGCGGCCATGGAGTATATTCTCATCATCAGGATACTTATTAAAAACACATGACTTTTTTTTTTTTCGATCAGCGCATACAACCCATATTTGGTGCGACCAACAGATGTTGCCGTTAAATCTCTCTTCCACCTTAATATTTCCAGTATCAAATAAACATGCAGCGAGATGGCCGAGTACTTAAGGCAATAGACTGGTAATCCATTGTGCTCTTATGTGGGTTTGAATCCCATTCTCGACGGTGCTTTTCGGAAGCTTAGCCTAACTGCCCTTATAGGGGTCTGGGTGGTTCAGAGGGTCCCAGGGATAGCAGAATGATCTCACCGCTGGACCCTTGAGCCAGGCCGTTAACCCCAGTAGCTGGCTGACCATGCTTTGGATGAAAGTGCTTGCTAAATTAATGTTAGATTTTTTCTGGCAAAGGTGTAAAGTTCTCAGTGTTTACATTTCATAAAACACTTTAAGTGCCTCCTCCTGTAAGAAACATTACTAAGGACACCTGCTGATGCTTAGGATCGTTTTGAATTTGATCCTGATGCTGATATTTTACACAAAGCAATGTCAAAATCTCACAGGAAGGCAGGACGCCTCATATTGCTCTTACAGTCAGTTTCCTTAAAGGTGCATAAAACCAGAGGCAACACAGGAAAACTACAAGCCAGTACTGGCAGTACCTGCTCCTGTTTTGGGTCCAGATATGATCTTCATGATGACATTGTCATTGTCATTATGACGCTTAAGGCAGTACAGAACCTGACAACACGATGCCCCAGGATCAAGTCAAATATCTGGTACAAACATTTTTATTGAAAATGGAGGTCAAAAGCTTGGTCAGACTAAACATCCAGGAACAGAACACCCCCAGCAAACACAGGACTGCCCCCCCCCACCATCCATCCATCCATCCATCTCCCGACAACTACAAATAACTGCAAGAACAATGTAGTAGTAAACTTATACTGACCATTTTGCACCCATAAGTTTGGTGACAAGTGGGGGTTCAATCTGAGAACAACGCAAGGTGACATCTGTCCTAACAATGAATAAAATACAGTGGGGGAGGGAAAAGTGGGAAAAGAAAAAGCTAATATCAAAACAGAAATTAATGGTTCAAAATAAACATGGGTACACATTCCCCACAGGAAGCTGGAGCCGTCTCAGCTCTTCCACAAAGCCTTCTGTAGGTACAGGCAGGACTCCCCCTATTCTTCATCATCATCGTCAATGAGCACCCGTTGACGCCTGCGTTTGGCTGGAACGGACGGCGAGTCCTCGTCCGAATCGGGCTCTCTGTGATTCACTGACACATCCTCTGCTGGAGTAAAGGATGATTTCAGATTAGTGGTTGCTTATCAGGGAGCAGAAGCTGGTTAGCGAAACCTAAACTCAAAGATCTTATTCACACGCAAGTCACTCTCCACGACTTCATTTAGATATGGAAGACAGATGAATGTACACTTCTACAACTGCTTAGAGTTGGGCAGCACCCTGGACGGGATGCTAGTCTATCACAGCGCATATGGCAATCTACCACATTTACTGGACTGCTGGCAGAAACTATTACACAGAAAACTCCACACAGACAGTCAAGCTTGGAATTCAAACCTCTAACCCTGGAGGTATGAGGATGCAGTACTACCCAGTGAGACCCTGGGGGGGGGGGTGGAGACCTAAATGCAGATGAAACACAGCATCCATCACCTGTTTCATCATCACTGTCCAGCACTCTGCTCCTCTTCACAGAGTTCCTGCTCTCCTCCGGGGCTCTAGGGGAACAATGCAGCAGGATCAGAGAAGAGCGCTGACAGCTTTGTGGCTACATGGCGGGGAAGGCCAATGCTTTCTGAGCACCCAGTTCACCAGGGCTGGGCGATATGGAGAAATATTTCATCAGGAGAGTTTTTTTCCATATTGGTCCATATCGATAATTATTACAATACAACTCATAAATAATTATTTTCAAAAAATCATTATTTCTTTACTTTGAGGATCCATTTATGTTTAAAATTCCCTGAGGACGCCCGTTTAACAGACTCTCCGATTTATCAGGACATGAAAAAGATAAAAAAATTGTGCATGCTTTCTGGAAACCGCAGGGCATAACACTAGCAATAGTGTGGTTTATCGCTCAGGTTTTTTCTCTGATTGCCTGACTATTCATTATGGGGGGGCTGACATTCTTGGTAGAATTTGACATTGAAATTGCTGGTAGAGTTGCCACCCCCCTTGTATTGATACATCAAAATGCTGTATCCCGTTTTGAACCAATACGGGGCACGACTGAAAGTTGCAGCACTAATTGCTAGTGTCTGTGACTCTAAGCGCTTGCATTCTGTATGAAGGTTGACGTCAAATGCATCATAAACGTTAGAGCAGACAGGACCGCAAGTACAAGTATGGAGAAGTATGAACCAGCCTTTAGGCTCCGTTTCAGAATCATAAGGCATGACCAAGAGACACAGGGCCAGCACAGCCTGGAGGAAGGGAAGCCTCTGCCCACATCCTCCTGCGTCCCTCTCTCTCTGCTTACCTTGGGGCTTCCGTGTCGGGGTCCAGCTCAGGGTCATTCACTGTGGGAGACTCATCTGGAAAAGGGAAGAATGACAAAACGGGATTAAATAAGAGCAGCGTATAGTGTGCATGGGATGTGCGTGGGACGTGGCCAAATGGATGCAGGTGCTCACCCCTGTGCCTGCCCGCCGGGGCTTTCCGCTTACGCTTCAGCAGCAGCGCTCGCAGGGCCTGCACCCTCTGCTCATGGCTCGTCTCCGACTCGCTGTGCACCTCCACAGGGCTCCCCTCAACACCTCCCTGCTCCTCCTCCGTTGGCGCCTCCTCACTCACGGACAGGGCAGCGGCCGCTGCCCGCAGCTGGGAGGCACTCAGCTTAGTAGGAATCCTCCAGAATGTCTCCTACACCCCCACAACAAACACCATCACAACACTTTTAATACACTTGTTAAAATGATTTTATAGAAGCCAGAGAAACATACTTTTACTTCTCCTTCCTATACTTGCAAGCCTATCAGCTATAAAAATTACATTTTAAAATACATTAAACTCATCTCTCATGTACAGTGAATACGTAGCACTGAGAGAGGACAATTCTATATTTGTGGTGCTGTCCGTTGGCAATGTGCCTACCTTTACCAAATTTAAACTAGTCAACATTAAACTTGCACTAATACATCTTGGGAACTTGGGAATTTTTGGGAAGTCAAAAAAGATGCCCCATGTCTTGTAAAATTGAGTTGTACAATCAACCGCACGACAGCTTTCTCGTTTTAGTGTTGTTTCTTGCGGCATTCAAGCCGAACGCTTATGCTGCCGCTCAATCTGTTTGCCACTCAGTGGGTGTTCCGCAGGGACTTCCGCCTGCCGTGACATCATGCGCATACCCTCTGCAGTACCAGGAGAACATCAGATAGGCAGGTGACGATCTGAAGGTATTTTACGCTTGAAATATCTAGTAGCACAGCTATTTGCATTCTTTGTAAAAACAAAGTTTTGAGAGGTGGATGTAGTGTTTAGTAGAAAATCCCACTACACAAAGCACATGCAATTACACGCAACGTGAGTAATATGAGATGACGATGATTTCGGAGTCACCTGGGCGGTTTTGCACACTCGCTACAGCTTGTGATATACAATGGAAATGTGTTATGCTACATAAAATTCGATCAACTGGGGACTAGTAATTACTTAGCAAGTTTGTTTCCAACTCAGTCTCAGATGTCAATCACTAGCTGATCTAAATGATTTCTGAAACCCCAAGCTTGCGGAGAATCATCCCTGCTTTACATGAATGTATAGGAACATTAATTGTTCAGTCATCATTCAGGAGGTGTCTTTAGGAACAGAATCCAGACAGCAAATATATGGAGCGTTTTTTTTTCTTCCAAATATTAACTCAATATGCAAGAATTTTTGGCATATAGATCATAGATGACATGTTAAGACTGGTCATGTAAGGGCTGAGAAATGCAGCATCTCTAGCACATTCCTCCCCTTGATTCTTTGCATTCCCATCAGGCCTTGCAGCAGCAGCTGACACCAATACCCAGAGCAGTTCCTAGACACACCCACCTGCTCATCGGCAGGTGCCCTGACTCCCAGCTTGTGCAGCAGCCTCTGGAAGCTCTTGGCCTCCATGGCATCCTCGTTCTCCTCCGTCAGCGGGACCAGAGGTACAGCTTGGGACACACCTAAGTTAACGAAAGGAGGATGTTCCTTAGTACGTTTGAATCTGGGTGGCTCTTCCTGAATACCGTCAGATATTAAAGTTGCTCAAATTACTCACCATCTTCTTCACGGTAGTCTGCAGTCCTGTTCAGACAGTTCTGGAGCCATAAAATGGGTCCAGACATACCTACAGACCAAAACAAGTTATCCACCTTGAACTTCTTGCAGCCACAAGTGAGGTACATATGAGTTAACTATTACACAGAGTAAAGTTACCCTCACCTTCCTGTCTAAGAGACTGGACCATCGGCCCCAAATTGAGGTCCTTCTCTACTCTCATCCCTTTGGTCCTCTTCGGTCTCTCTTGATGTCGAAGTGACTCTCGGTCCGGCACCTCTTCATCGTCGCTCTGCCCCAAGTCATCTTCCTCATCTTCATCATCATCATTATCATCATCAGAGGGCTGCTCATTTTGCCCTCCTGCTAGGTCAGAGAAGAAGTCTTCTTCCGTCTAAGAGAAATTAAAAATCCGAAAAGGAGAAGCATGGTTATTCAAACTAAGTGTGTAATTTACATGAACAAAACTATTCTTTTTTTTTTTTTGCATTGGTATCCTTGCAGTACCAGTATCGTGATCCGTAATGTGCTATCGGTATGGAGGTCATCATTTTGATATCATGACAATACCGTTGACCAAAGTGATCCTTTGCCGCCATGTTTGTGAAAGGTTTACTGATACACGACCTGCATGCATCTTTTTCGCAAAATAAAAACAGATGATAAAAAAGACGTGATCTGTACAGCCTGCCCCAGGCATTCCTTCTGGGTTTGGTTCATGTATAGTGTACATGTGCACATGCATGTGTCAGTTGCATCATCGACGTCACGTCTGTGATCCGTACTCTGGCACGGTTAACAATCTTATGACATCTGACAGTCCAACTGACCGTGCCCTGGCCCACCTCTCCAAACGGGCCATGATATGGTTAAGCATACCGTGTTTGGGCACGGTACAGAGTGATCGTGCTCGTCAAACAAACTGGACTTTGGGGGTCCAACGTGGTCCAGCGTGATACACAGATCGGCCACTGTGAGTAGCCTGAGATGATTTAGGGGTTTCCTGTCTGGACGAGGGATCCCGAGCCCTACAGAGGCCCCACAGCTTTGTCTCTCTGCCCCCCCTCACCCCCCCCTTACCATGCCATTGCTCTTGCCCACAGCATTGCGCCTCCTCTTCTTATACAGCTCCTTCCTCTCAGACACCAGGCCCAGACTGAGCAGCTTGTCCACCACCCGCGCTCGGGACCGCCGAGCCGTCAGGCGCCTCATGATGTTTCCAAGGACGTCTGGCCGAGAGAGAGACGTGGCTTGGTTACAGTGGCGATCAGAGAAGCTGCCACTGATATTGCAAATATCCACTGAAGCAGCAAATAGAGCCAGACGATGTGGGAGGACGAAAGACGCTCTCAGGTTTAGGGAAACTGTGGGGAAGCTGAGGAAATGGCTAGAGAAGTGGAACAGGCCTCTTCATGATATTTCCTTCTCTGGGGTTTCCAAAAGGCAGAGCCTGTTCCATGTAACTGCTAATGTGAGCCAGGTGGGGTGGGAAGACAGACATGCTTGTCACCTGACCACCTCGGCCAGGCTTGCCCCAGGGCACCCACACCCCCCCGCAGTGGCTGGATGGAATTCACCTCCTTTCATGTGCTCCTAGGAGACCAGACGAGTCGTACGTACCATCAGAGTGCCTGTATTCCTCGAACAGCGTCTGAAGCTCAAGTTCCTGTTCCTCTGTCCAGAGGACGATGCGAGTGCCCTTCCTAAACGGAGAGTAGGGAAAAAAAAGAGAAAAAAAGAGTGATCAATAAAGAAAAAGTAAAATAAACAACCAAAGTGCCAACTCAGTGGTCGAATGAAGAAAAGAGAAAAAAAGGTTGACTGTGAAGAGCACAGGGAAGCCTCCTGACCTCTCCTTCTTCAGGTCCTTGGCACTGTCCACCAGCCCCATGTTCACCAGCTGAGTGATCACATGACGGCGAGTGCGGGTCGTGGTCGAGAGCAGCGGCAGCAACGTCTCCACAATATCAGGCACTGGGAGGGGGGGTTGAGATAACAGAATACTGAATGAGGGAATGGGGAAGGAGTGCTGGGGGAGTACACAAGAGATAAGTGGTCTGAATAATGCAAGTACAGTCCTATTCCTGACTGCTTTTTTGAGAGTGGTACACCAAGAGAACTATCGCCACAATAAAATTTTACACAAAAGCTTGATGAGGGAGTTCACTGAAATAACATATTTATGTTGTACATTTGTGGTGATCTTCAGCTTTAAACCACAATTTCTTATTGCCCCTGCAGGTTCTTCATATTTCACATATACTGTCATGATTTCTACGAATTTTCCCACCTGATACAAGCAAAACAATGAAAGCACTGCAATTTATTTCCACGCCAATGAAGTTATGCCGTTGCTAGCTAAGCAGCACTGTTGCCACGGGCGACAGGCTCACCCCCCGAGTCCTGGTGCTCTTCGTACAGCCGCCGAAGCTCCTCTGCCTCCTCTGGGGTCCACCTCGCTCTTTTGGTCCCATCCCTGAATGAAAGAAGGACGTGATGTAATGGGTTGACGTAACCATGGAAGACCCGTCACAGAATGACGTAGAGCTGCGGAAGGCGTCCTCACCCGTCCTCGTCCTCGGGCTTCCGGTAGCCCTCTGTCATTTCCCGCACGGTGCCCACATTCTTCCAGAAGAGCAGCTCCATGTATGCCTTGTTGTTGCGTGCCGCCAAGGCGAAGAAGCGGTTCAGCACAAATTTGATGAAGGTTACCAGCTCCTGTTGAGGAGGGTGCGAGTATTAGGGACAGAGCTAACTAACACTTTACATTAAATACAAACAAACCAGTCCAAATGGCACTGATACCTTAAGGTAAGTCCCCCTTCCACAGGTGAGGACCGACATCAGCAGCCTAACCTTGACCCCACGGATTTTAGGACCATGATCCTTACCTTGTAGGCAGCGACCGCCGGATCGCCCAAGATCTTGTGGAAGAGGTGGAAGATGGAGAGCTGGAAGAGCAGGGCATCCATCTTGAGGTCGACGGCCAGGCGGTGCAGCATGCGTGTGATGCAGTGGTTGGTGTGAGCCGTGTTCTGCGAGTAGGACTTCAGCAACAGCAGGTAAGGCCTCACGATGCCCGGGTTGGCGAACCTGAGTAAGGCTTCACTCGTTAGCGAGCAGCTAAATTAAAGTCACAACTTCCGCACATGTTCTTGTGACGTCATAATTCAAAGAAAAATCAAAACATACTTCACAGACATGTGGCTTAAAGAACCATGTACTCTCTAAAATGAAGTATGGAGCTTCCTGCTGATGGTCACCAGTTCACATCCCAGCACCACTGTGGGGCCATGAGCACGGCCCTTAACCCCATGACTGTGACCCCCAAGCTTGCTTTTACTTGCATGTGCCTGTGTGTCTCATGGACAGTAAGACGGGGCAGGTGAAAAGAATTTCCCTCGTGGGAATCGATAAAGGATCACCATTCCATTCTCTTACGCATCTGGCCATCCCCTCCTAGCACTTACACGTACACTGAACATGATTAAGTATTTATTACATCAATGCAGTTTTTAAATTAAAGATGCATGTTCTTGTGGCAAAATCTAGTACGTACATTATTGGCACCCTGGTAAATATGACCAAAAAAGGCAACGAGAAAATGTCTGAAGTTGCATCACACACTCATACACACATTTGTGGTGATCTTCAACTCTCCACCTGCAGCTTCTTCATGTTTGACATACTGTAAGCAGCCATGAATTCTGTAAATGTCCCTCCTGATACAGCATGGTCAAACAATTTTTTGTGACTCAAGCACCAGATATTCAGGCATCACCTATTTGGCCACTTTTACCTCATTTCCCCCAACACAGAGCTGGTGCTGGAACCTGTGTTGGGCTGGTTCTCACTTGGTGCCTTTTGAGAACCTGCTCACATTTCCACTGGTTTAAAAAAATAACGGAATGGAAATGTTATGTAGGTGGAAGTGAGTAAAGTAAAGGTTTATATGAATTGTTTTTTGGACTTTCTATTCTGTTATCGTATAAGTTTTATACGATGGTGAACCAATAAATTCAGAGAATGAAATTGCGCTCTGTCTCTATTACCTGTATCAGCTTCTGTCTCCTTAAAGACTGTATTTCTCCCCAGTCTCTGTGTGTGAGTTTATTCTTGCTCACTGTTTTACTGCTGTCCTTTTAAAAATAGCGCAATAAAACTCAAAGCTAAAAATTGAACTTTGCTGACCACTTCATAATCTCTTCGCCATTCAAGCTCCATAATATTTTATTTATTTGATCTGCAAATTTAATTTATTATTAAATCTGGCCGATAGATCGATCTTTCGTTTTCCATAGAATCAAAAACGATGCAAAGTTATTCCACTGGTAAGCTGAAAAGTGCCGGCAATCTTCCACTGCCGGCACCAGTGATATTAGACAAAACTGTATTGGTTATGGATTGAATTTCTTAGGCATGTGGAAGATTTGGATGCGACACCCAGTCCCACATTAGCTGACGTTACGGTTCCAAAGTATGAGACCAGCTTTTCTGTGGTGCCGGGCCGGAGCTCTTTTTTCAGGCCCAGGGCCAGTTCTTTTGTGGTGGAAACTCACGGAACCACTTCCGGATTGAGAAAAAATCCGACACCAGTTCCACATTGGCGGAATTGAAATATTTGAAACTCTGGTAGTTGCTTTTAAAACTCACATATCAAAGTGCTGTCAGATCTCTTTTACTGCTCGCACACACTAACAATTGGCATTCAACCCAATACCACCTTTGTAGTTGCATATATAATTGTAAATGTAATTAACTTACTTCAAAATTCATTCTTCATGCGGGGGGGGGGGTTTCCTTGATTTTAAATATAATGACAGAAACACTAGCTTGCTTTTAAAACAATGAATAGTTTAAACCATTTGCTCAGTAAGACATGACAATGCAAATTGCTGGACTGTTTATTTAAAAAGATCTTTCACTTAGAGATCAGATCCAATTTTTTAAGAACCATTCATGCAGAAATAGAGACTTCACAAATTTTCGCGACTGTACACACATACATTTCTTAAAACTTACCTCTTAACAAAGTCAATAAAGTTGAACTCCGTCTCTGACACAGAGACAGACTCCAGCTCCTCTTCTTCCTCAATCTCCTCTACACCATCCTCCTCTTCCACTTCAGCAGGAGCTGCTCCTGTTCATCCACAAATCAATGAATTACAATCTGCCCACAGACCAGGACTGCAGTGTCCTAAGCAGGTTCTCTCAGGACACCTTCAAACACTCAAGTGCTACATACCAACAAGGTAAAAATACCAGCCATATGGCCAGTAATGTATTCATCTAACAGATTAGCCTACCATGATAGGTAATCCTGAACAGCACAGGTAGCCAGATCAAAGTTAATTCCCTTAGGTAACATCCCCAAGTTTTCAATGCAGTATGATCTTTCAGCTAAGATTCCAAAATGAAAGTCATCCCAGTTATTAAAACAAAAACTCTGCCTTCCCACTACTTACTGGGCAGGTTGGCAAACAGAATCTGATTCAAGAGTTGCATCTCTTCTTCCGGCTCCACGTCAGCTGATCCGAACACGTCTCCCTCTGGCCACACCTCCCTGCTCAGGATGGGTCAGGCAAAGCGAGGGAGGAAGCGCAGTGAATACTCCGATTCCTCATGCTCTTACGGCACAAAGCCAATAAGAGATAGACAAGTGTTCACAGGCTGACCTGGCAGCACGGAGCAGACTGAGAGCTTCAGGCCCCTGGCGGACCAGTAGGGCATCCTGGATGCGCACCATGGCCTCTGTGCGCTGCTCCTCCAGCGGCATCTCTGACGCGGCGTCGAACGGTACGGTGCCCTCTGTCAGTGATTCTGACAACTGCAGCCACAACCCAGGACCGCCCCAAACAAGCAGGATCACTATCTGTTACCTTATGGGAGCTTATTATGCATTTACTAAAACAGAGTCTCCGAGAGCTCATCAAGCAAGAGTTCTTAAATGTTTTACTGCACATCACCCGGCAGGGAAGCCATTCACACACTGACCTGAAACCCCGCAGCCCTTAGCTCCTCTGATACGATCTGCCAGGTCTCCTCCAGTGCCTCGGGGGTGCTCTGTATGGCAGGCTGCTTCTTCCGGCTACGGGACTTCCTATGCTTCACCTTCTTCCTCTATAACGGACATGGAGGTACTCTTTAGTTTTCCAGACGGAAGTTTTGCCCTTGAAGATCTGCCACCAAAGCACCCTCACCCCACCCTCCTCATGGCCTCACCAATAGCCCCCCCCCCCCCCATCCTCACCTGGACGACCAGGTTGTTGCGACCCTTACAGAAACGCTCAAGCATGCGCAGGAACAGGTGGGTGGACTCTATGAGGTCTCGCAGGAAGGAGCGTGGCTGCTTTGTCTCATCGAACTTGCGCAGCAGCGTCAGGAAGATCTCACGGTACTCCATCAGGTAAAAAATGTTGCCTGGAAACCAAGGCCAGGCATGTCATCTAAAACGTTTTTTTTTTTTTATGTGGACATTAGAGACACAGGTTACATGACAGAGCAAATCCTGGAGCTGGATGAACAACTGGATGAACTTTGACAGACATGACTTGTATTAATGTGGCATGGCTAGGAAGAGTGTGAAAACACAAAACACCATGCAGAGAAATTATCGGGCAGACGAGCGAAGGGCCCTCACTCTTTATGACGTTTGCACTTTGACGGATGCTTTCGTCTTGTGATCTGTCCATCTCATTCACCGTTAACAGCAGCTCTTGATAAGCCTTCAAAGCTAGGTGCATCCTGCAGTTGGCAACAAGAAGTGCCAATCAGCAGACATTCTTACACACAAAATACAGAGAGGACAGGAAAAATAACTACTCCAGGCACAGTGCCTCACTAGCTCCTCCCACTGCCCCAAAGACTCCCACAAAGTCCACCCCCGAGACACGCGTCCGACCTGCTTGACCACGATGTGGCTTCCTTTCGGTCAGTGAGCATCATCTCATAGTAGTTGGTGATGTTGCGCTCAATGAAGTGGAAGGCACGGATGGACATGGTCTCCGAGACAAGGTCAGGGCGAAAGACGTGTCCCCGGTTGAAGGCCATGAAGAAGCTCAAAGCCCAGAGGAAGTAGGTCTCGTCGTGCTGTTGTGCCTGTTCCCGGATCAGACACTCCTGTGGTCGTGTGATGAAATGAGACTCATCAGAATAATCATAACTCCCACCATGTGTCATACTGTACTTTTGCGATTTCATACCCATAATTCAGAGTGGGTGCGTACACCTACCTTGACCTGGAACATGAGACGATTATAGCAGTTCTCCAGGAAGTCTACGCAGAAATCACGCAGGAAGAGGCGCACGTTGAGGGCAGAGCGGCGCTGCCCTTCCACATCCTTCGCCATCTGCCTGCGCTTGGGGACGCGGCTGATCACCTTACCTGCATCGTGTGTGTAGTTCTTGAACTTCAGAAAGCAGAAAAAAAATAGTTGAAATAAACCCAATAATCCCAAATTTCTAAGAAGCTAGCAGGAAACTGCTTCATTAAGTGGGAAACAGGCAACAAAACTCTAATCTGGCTGAACAGCTAAACCTCCAGAGGAAACTAAACAAACTAACCGGAAGATTACATAAAACACAGGTCATATGCCTTTATGGAAGGTTACGTCATGGCTCCTGGTGCACTCAGACACTCACATTGTGAAGACCTCGATGATAAATCACATCTTTGTCTCCAATGGACTTCAGTCCCTGAACCACATAGGAGCCCCCAAAGCGGGAATGTCTTTGGCAAAGAAAGACAAAAAAACGCTATCAAAACTACAGACATCAAGGCAAAAGCAAACGATCCCCGCAGGCTCTGGGTGTAATACATGCCTGGTGCCCCGCTGTAGCGAGCGGCTCCGCTTTGACGCCTGCTCTTTCAGCCGCAGCAGCTCTAGCTCTTGGGCGTCCTTCTGCTTCTCCTGAGCAGAGCGAGCCTGGCCTGCACTGACCAGCAGCTCCGGGGTCTGCAGGCGACACACGGGACACTGCATCTACACGGCGTTTTGCACCCAGTGATTCTCCAACCCACCCGTGCCTGTGCGGCCAGAAACTGACCTGGTCTCTGAACATGAGGGAGATGACCTCCAGCACGTGCATGCTCCAGTGCTGCTCACTCTGTGCACTGGCCAGGAACTTCAGCAGGTCGTCCATCCCGCTCATGTGGACGGCCCACAGCAGCTTGTCGTGGACACTGGCGTCATCGTCCACATTCTGATGAAATCGGGGGGGGGAGAGACCCGTAAGGAACCACGGTCACTTTTGGCTAACAGAAGGTAAACAAACTGCGTTTTGACGACAAACAAACTGACAAGCTATGGAAAAGAAATCTCTGTCCAGACCTTCTCTTCATAGGGATCTGCGGGAACATGCAGAACATTCCTCAGCAGCAGCAGGATCCTCTCTATCAGCAGGTTATCCTCTTCTTGCCTCTGCTGCCATTCCTGGAACAGGGACAGAATGGGGTGACTGTTAATCACACGTGAGAGGACGATACCTCCAATGAAAGGTCTCCGTTAGGCGGAGCGGAGCCGCCGGACACCATCCCTGCCAAGGTGTGATGAATCACAGCATCACTGTCCTTCTCAGCAGTTCTTACTGTAGCCTACAGCCAGGAATCTGCCACTGCCTGGGGGCAAGACCCCATTCTTCAGATATTCTATACATGGTCATACCTGAATAAACAAAAGAGCGTCACTCACTGTGCGGCAGACTCACCAGCTGCAGGAGGCTGTATAGAGTTTCACTCAGCACTCCAAAGACTTTCTCACTGGCGAAAGCCTGCAGGAAATTAAAAGCGGCCATTAATTATTTCACTGGGTGTTTGCAACAAACTGGTCTCCAGGGTCCAGAGACACTGAGGCAGGTTGAACGTGCCATGTGCTTCCAAGAGCTGCAGCAAACGTTTAAGGAGAGCTATCACCATTGCCTGCAGGGATTCACATCTGTTGCTTAATTCCAATGTCTGCACCAGCACTAAATCCAAAGATGTTTCAACCACAACCACCCAAGGATGAAAGGGCTGGAATGGATGCAGTGTTTTTTTTTTTCCTGCCTGCTAAGCAGCAAGTCTTCTCAATCATTTACATTGCAGGTCACACGTGGTGACTCCCACTCTGACCAGTCAACAGTCGATTTCAACAATAATCGTGAGCGATCACCTGAGCCAGGAACAGCTTTCTGACGCAGACATTCAACACGCACCTCCTTGTAGGCCTGTAGGTAGGACACGACCTGCAGGAAATGATGTCTGAAGGTAGGATCCTGTGGGACCTTCCCAAAGCAGAGCAGTGCAGGCTGAGTCAAGTTGACCATTAGCCTGCCAAGAAAATAACATCAGCATTAAGACTCAACACTCAAGAGGTCTCCATTGTCTACACATCCATGTAGATACACAGTGCGTTGAAATACTGCTTCCCTTGGGCCCCCTATAGTGCTACAAAAACACAAATACAATAAATGAATGTATGACATCCACCACACAATAAATATATGCATATATTGTGTACAAAACTTTGTTTGATTTTGCGTGCCTATGCAGTGTATTCCAAATAAAGAACGCAGAAACCGCAAACCTCCTCCTAAAAATGTACTTTCTCATCTCATAATTATAAACACACTCAGCAAGCATCTCTAACCTTAAATCAGAATTTCTTATACAGGAAATGACAGTGTACATATATATATATATATACATAAAGTATATATAAATGACAGTATTTGACTGAAATGCCATAAACACAACCAAAAACCAGCAACCCATTACAAAATCCTCTCAGCTGAAAATATGGGGTCAGCACCGGCCCATTTGTAGCCAATGGTCTTGTGCACGGGATGACAGGCAGGTCGGCTATAGCGGTACCTGATGCAGGCATCGAAAAGGGGCTTGTCCTGGCTGTGTTGGGTGATGATGGGCAGCAGGTCGTTCTGCAGGATCTGGGCAGCACCCAGCTGCTGGCGGATGTCCCGCGTGTCGTCCTCATGCCGCAGGTACCGGATGAGGTCCTTCACGCTCTCTGTTTGGGCGCAACAGGGAGTTAGGCTGCTGTGCGAGGAGGTTTTGGTACAGTGAACATGTACATTTTAGCATGCATATATAAGAGTCTGGATAAAAATCAGCAACCTACAAAAATAGGGTGTATGGTAATTTTAAAAAAAGGCACTTATATAAAACAAACAAAAACCTCCAGAGAGCAGAAAGCAGTTTAAGATATTTGGTGGGGGGAGGATATTTGGTTAAAAAAAAGAGGCATTTTTCCTAAATATGCATGGGAGGAGGGTCTCTGGGCTACATGGACCGCATAACCAGAGCCAAGTCAAAGCCCACCACAAACCACTCACCCAAACAGTCAGACTCCCGGTGGTAAGTGTCTCCCTCCAAGTACCCAAGGGCACTGCAGGTTGCCAAAAGCTCACAATTCATCATGTACAAGTCCATAAATCACCTCACTGGCAGAAGGAGTAGCGTGGCACAGTCTGTGAGAGCGACAAGATACATGCTCTAAGTCCTCCATTTCTCCTGTGATGCCAGAGATTCAACAGAACTCATATAATTACCTGAAAATAAACAGCCGAGCTGAAGTCCAGAGACGTCAGTTCGAGAGGCTGTTCAAATCTAGAAGGCAGAAGCAGCCGTCAGTTTGGCTTTAACAGTGCTCAATTTTAACGGTTGTCCGGGACAACCAAATTTTCCCTCAGTCAACAACAACAGGCACTGTACATATGCATAATATGCTTTAAATAAATTGCTTATGTTATCAGTAAACCTTCCAGTCAACAGTAGACTATTAAGGGGGGGGGGGCTCAAAAGTTATACACAGGTTTTACGAGTTATAACCATTTTTGTCATCTTAAGACATCCAAAATTAAAATGCTAACATAAAATGTACAAATTTGATGTGTTAATTCCGAGGGTTTTAACCGCAATGGCGTTCCTTGTTCATCAGAGGGCTGTGTTAGCACTGCACATGCATATTGCAGGGCAACCTCATCTATGAGCGAACAACCTGGGGGTACTCAGGTGGCTGTCCTATGGAAAACCCGGGGAAAATCCTTAAAACTGAGCACTGTTTGATTACATGAATCCACATGAATGCCATCATGGTTTGTCATTCAGGAATCAAAGGTTCTGACCCAACATTAGTTAAATGAGGAAACAAGTTTAACAAACCAGAGACATGTATGTCATAATAATTGTTAAAGACAAACCCACACAAACATCTGTTTATTGTAAAAGTGCTGGTGATCTGCAATCTGAGGATCTGATAAGTCTGTTTCTTCAGTTTGCTTTGGTATCGATTTTGAGAACCACGAGGAAACACCAAACATATACAGATATCCCATGAGTCAAAATCCTGCTGATATTATTAGTTATGTAACCATTGAAGAAAAGCTGGGAATCAAGAAGACAAAAGTAGTCTAGTTACTCTTCTCTAAAAATCCTGTCTTTGTAATTGTATTTAAAGCAGCCAGATGTCGCTTAGTCGGTATTCCTCAAAGCTATCACCCCTTCATGTCCTGGAGAAACTCAATATGCAGACACAGCTAAAAATGCCACCTCCGGATCTCAAAAAAACAGTGCCTCCAATTAGACTTAAAGGGCAGACAGAACTCCGCCGATTCCGGGATGTGGAACAGATCACGTGACCATTCTTATCCATTCCCTTAGCAGTATTTATATGACAGCACTGTAAATAATACGATTTTAAGGGCAATGAAAACAGAACCTATTTATTCGCACTGGTGACAAAATATGTATTAGTCCTCTAGTTATTGTGCAGCATTGTAATATAAACTATACAAAACGAGAAGGTCAGTTCTCAAGCTGGAAAAAATTATAATAGAACCAAGTTTGTTGCATGTATTGATATTTTGTGTTACTTATAGTGGAGCAACATCTCGCAATATGTAAAATAACACCAAGCTGGATACGTGCTAAATAAATTAGAAGACGATTACGCGCAGTTTCCTAAAAACATAATTTCACTTACCAGACTGCCGATATATGAGAAAACAAACTGTGTTCTACCTTTCCTCTTCAGATTATGATTTAATAAAGATGCTACATCATATGAAAAACTCGTTTATCGTTAGACATAGTCCCATTTTACCCCCCATTTTCCACCGAGTAGCAGGACTAGCAGCAGTACAATTCTCGCGCGCAAACTGAGCCCGCTGTCGTGACGTCATTCTCTCCTTTCTTAAAGGGGCCACGACAACTTCTTTTCTATACTCCAAGCCGAGCAGGAAAACCCCATTGAAAAAAGTGTGCAGGTTATGCAGTGATTTTAAACTGGCCATAGATGCCGTATTTATATGGAAATATATATTCCTTTATTATATTGCTTTGGATATTGCTGTTCCTCGAACGTCATCGATTTCTACAATGGTACATGACTAAAACGATGCAAATATAAAAGATAGATAAATAGACAAAAACATAAAGCGAAATACTGTACACTGTGTACACTAAAATAGATAACAGACAGTCTGTAAAGTTTACTGTGAAATGACACTAAAGTCTAAAATTATTGTCTCCTGTATATTTCTACAGTCTAATGTGGAAATTGTATTCAGGGACTATTTTGCAAAACTGGACAAGTTAGCAAACAACTAACATCATGCCATTTTATTACATACCTCAGCCGAATCGATACAGAATGTTACTAATTCAAATGAAGACAAAACAGGTATCAAAGTACCTGACCAGTTACCATGCCGGTACACAATACAAAACTTTTGTCACCAAAAAATAAAAACAGAAAAATATACCATACCAACATACCTGTTAGATGTTCAAGTAAGATATTTACGTTTAGCTCCTGGCTTTCATGGGTGTGAGATTCAGAACAATATCCTTATCACTCGATTTAGAAAGACAATGTTTATTTTACTTAGGAACAAGATGTACAGTTAACATTTTGGACCGAAAATACTGTTATAACTTTCAGGGGGAGACTTTAGCTAGAATTATGATGAAATTATGATGTAACGTATCATGTAACACTTGATGTATATATATATGTACACTTAATTATAACGGACTGTAATATAATAGCGCTAAATCATTCTAAACACTTGTATGTAATTTAAAACAGTTTAAATATCGAGACTTTCAACCCCCGTTTCAAGGCAGTGTGTTGGTTTCATCCGAGTCACATTAAAAGTCTGCGTGAGTCTCTGACTTCCGTAACAAAGCGCAGGAGTTAAAGGGGAAGTTCATGTTGGGACGTTTCAGGCTGGTGGTAGAAATACTGTAGTACTCAATTTTCGTAGTTAATTTTAAACATGGATCGGAGTAAAGAGCCATTATTTGGCTCAGAAATGCAGCAAAGTGAAAGCCAAAGTCGCAACAACTTAAAATACTCCAGTAAACTATAGAACTACTTTAGTTTTGTATTTGTACTTCGTTACTTTACACCTCTGGTTGCAATGTGATTGTTTGCCGTGTTTATTATGATAGCTTTTTGAATTGCTTTTTTGTGATTGGCTTGTTATATAAAACTACTGAACTAAAAATAAATTTACAAAAATTGCTACTCCAAAGTGAGAGTGATTCGTAATATATGAGAAAGTACTTACCGCCCCATCCATACAGGGTCACAGTAAGGGCCGCGAAGCTGCAGCGCTTCGTGTTGGTTCATTATGCTGTATTGTGCCATGTCTGGTATTTATGAGAGAGCCTTACCAAGACCGTATCCTGGCTAAGGGATCATGGAAAATGAATGTGCAGATAGATACAAACTTGGTGACACAGTGGTGTGACATCTAGTGGTGGGGGTTCAAATGTGTGTGTGTCTGGATGCGGGTTTCTATGTTTTCCATGTGAGGTCTTCCACAGTCTGAAGGCATGTAGTTAGGCTGGAATCTCTAAAAACATATTATGTGTGTTGCATTACAACCATGGTGTCCTGTTCTGGCTCCAGATCATGTCCTGTTACTCCGGTTTAGATCAACAATCAGTAGATGGGTGGATAAAAATTTAAATAAATAATCACTGTAGCCAAGTCATAAAAAATGACCAGTAAAAAACAATACAGTTTCAGAACAAGATAAATTGCCTGGTTTTGTTCCTGTTGATTTTATTTGCACTTGTGTGCCAAGTACACAACATTCATTTCAAGATTTTTTTTTTCTGAGAGGAGTTAAGTGGATTCAGATATTTGCAGTATCTTCTACGGTGTGGAGAATATTGCTGGAATAGACTCCTTGTTCCTCTGCATTCACTTCTGTCAGTAACACATGGCTTGACACGTCACAGAGGCAGGGTCAGGGTTCATTGTGATTGACAGCACCATAAAATCATCCTAGCATCAGATTGGCATAAAATCTGGCTGATTCAGATATCACAAAGAAAACTTCTCGAGATGCAGGAAAGCCATGTGTTTCTTAACTCTGAGACTTGGTATGTTATGCGGCAAATTGCAGAATTATATGACCTAAATTATGCACAGGGTTCACCTTGACATTGTCAATCATAGAAACAGGTTTCACGAACTATCTGAAATACAGTACGAAATATTATAATGTCATACAGACTTCAATGTTTAGACTCAAGTGACTGCTATTGTTCTTTTTCTGATTCAACCACAAGAATTGCTATTTGTTTAGTCTTCAGCTTCCAAATCATTGTTTGTCTTGGACTCCTTCACCACCTGGTATGAAAATAAACAGTCAGTATTGGCATTCAAATGTTCTACACGTATTGATACTTAATAGATAGATAGATCCTTCACAAATCCTGAAGGGAATTGCAGAAAATTCTGACTCTGGTGGGACTCGAACCCACAACCTTTGAATCACTACTTGTAGTAATGCAACTAGAAGTCCAATGCGCTATCCATTGCGCCACAAAGCCACACATTTGCAATTGTACATTGGGGGACTCTATGATGAAACTATACCACAGGTACACTGCACTAATAGACTAGCATAGGCGGAAAAATTAAAAAGTCTAGATGACTAAGTGCTACAACAAAGAAGAGAATTACATTTGAAGTCGTTGAAACCCTGAGCTGGGTTTTTTAATTGAATTTCTTGCATAACATACCCAGATACAAACATGTGTAAAAAAACACTTTTGGATAAAAGTACCAGCTAATCAATGAAACAAAAAAGGTATTTATCAGAATATCGCTGGAATAAAGGGATTACAGGTATTTGCAAGACTTTCAAATACCTTTCCATACAGAGAAAAGGCAGAAAAAGATTGGAATTTTGCAACGACCAGGCAAAGATGTGAATAGGGTTTTCAGCAAGTGTGAAAGGTAAATGGACTCACCTCACCATCGTGAGTCTCAATGGTCTTTATCAGCACTGTCTTCTTTTTTTGAGGCTCTGCAGGGTGGTCGGGCACTAGGTAAAATATAAAGTCAATAAAGGTAAATATTAATTCAATATTCAACCAAAGGTGATACTCCATCCAGGTGTTGTAGGGTTCAGCATCGCACGGACAGATGGTGTTATTTGAGTGGAGCAACCATCTGTATGTGTATATAATACGATACCATTTCTTTACCATTTTACAAGTATAAAGAAATTCTATGTTTTTTGCATAACTTGTTCTCCTGAGACAACCATATACAGGTTGAGAAAGTGATTAGAATAAGGGGTAAGTCATTCTTTTGGTACAGTTGTGATTAACGGCCATGTTCAAGGGCCAAAGGCCTATATTACTGCTTTGTCAGCCACCAGAATTGAACCAACAACCTACTGGCCACAGCCAAAGAGTCCTAAGGCACAGCACCATGCAGCGAGCCCTGATGTATTTATGTATGACCGCGACATAAGTGTGTGGAACGTCTTGTGCTCACCTATGCTGCGGATACTCATGGAAGAGATGTTGAGTACAGGGACAGCAATCCTGAAGGAATCCCAGATAGAAAATGTGAGGCTTTAATTCATCACTAAGTAGTATAACATGGCCACTGAATACGTAAAACTGTGATAAACATCCTCCTGGAGAAGCATAATTCCCTTTTAATAATTCAGCATCTACTTCCTGTTCTCTCGTAATCCCCCCCTCACCGGCTCTCCTCGCCTTCCAGCAGCTTCCTGTAGGTTGCAATCTCGATATCCAGGGCCATCTTGACATTGAGGAGGTCCTGGTACTCCCTGAGGTGACGGGACATCTCCTCCTTGAGATGGCGGATCTCCTCCTCCAGGCGAGAAATTGTGTCGTGGTATCCACCAGCCTCCATGGAAAACTGGTCCTCCATGTCTCTCATCTGCCTCAGCAGAGCTTCATTCTACAGTCCAGCAGAGGGCAGTATTTAAATACAAGACGAAGAACCTCATACGTAACAAGTTCCTTAAACCCAGGTATGGTGTGCTTGAATTCACAAGTATGACCTTACCGTGCTCTTCAGGGCATCAATCTCACAACTCAGGCTCTGGATTTGCCTCCTTGACTCATTGGAATCCTGCTTGGCCTGCCTCAGAGCCTCACTGCTGCGTTTGGCCGAGTCAGTCAGGTCAGCAAACTGGCAGATAAGCACAAACAAATACATCCAACAATGAGCATGAGTTTCCACACATGCACACTATCGCCTTTTTGTGCGTTTGAATGTTCTTAATACCTTTCAGTTCTTAGGTAATACAGATTGTCGGTGACTTATGAGCGCAATTGGTGCTGACTGACTAGTTGAAAGTCAAATTGGTCGTCCCTTTATTTTATATGCAAAAATTATCACATGTATAGTATACTGTACAATAAAAATATATAATATTTAAATTATATTGTTTGGTGTTTTTAAATATTTTTATCACCATTTTCTTAGTTCATTGCTGCAGACAGTTGGGGGGGAAACTGTACTACACTCTGGTAGCCAGATGTGGCTCAGTCATGGCCACATATCTGTGGTTTTGGAGCGATCCATCAGTCCTAATTCACACAGGTCGTAAGTCGATAATGCCCTGTACTCATCCATAAATGTTTAATTTATTTATGTCAGATATTTTTAATTAGGTAATTAACTTAATTCAATTATTGACATGTTTTAGATCACATGGTAATGAACACTGGTAACATTATATTTTTAATTGGTTGCTTATGTAAGACCTGCAATACAACCATATAATGAATCTATGAGGCATTGACACAGCAAAATACATTCTCAGTATCTTGGCCATTGATCTACTTGGTAATGTTGTGTGTTAGAAGCTGTTGTAGGGTTGTATAATCTATGATATTAAAAACATAAGAACATACAAGAATTTTACAAACGAGAGGAGGCCATTCAGCCCATCAAACTCATTTGGGGAGAACTCAATGAATAGGTCAGAATTGTTAAAATCTTATCTATCTCTGATTTAAAGGAACCCAGGGTTTTAGCTTGCACTACACTAACAGGAAGATTATTCCATATTCTAACTACACATTGTGTAAAGAAGTGCTTTCTCAAATCCAGTTTAAAATGTTCTCCCACTAATTTCCATCTATGGCCACAAGTTCTTGTATTTGAACTAATATTGAAGTGACTATATGGTTGAACAGCATCCAGAACTGTTAGAATCTTATATACTTGGATCATGTCCCCCTTAGTCTCCTTTGCTCAAGGCTAAACAGATTCAGCTCAGCTAACCTCTCCTCATAAGACATTCCTCTAAGTCCAGGAATCATTCAATCAATATTCTAGGTGGGGTCTTACCAAGGAATTGTATAATCTTAGCATCACCTCCCTTGACTGAAACTCCACACACCTAGAGATGTAACCCAACATCCTATTGGCATTTTTAATTGCTTCCCCACACTGGCAAGAATGGGACATGGAAGCATTAAAATGCACTCCAAAATTTTTCTCATAATCAGCTACCTTTATTTCAGTGGAACCCATAAAATATTTGTACTTTATATTTCTTACATTTATCTACGTTAAAATTAATCTGCCAGGTAACAGCCCAGTTGCTAATTAAATCAAGATCCAGCTGTAGCCTCCGTGCTGCTAGTTCAGTATCTGCTACACCACCCATCTTGGTGTCATCTGCAAATTTAGCCAGTTTACTGTATGTATTGGTGTCAATATCATTAATGTAAATTAGGAATAACATTGATCCTAAAATTGAACCCTGCGGTACCCCACTATGAACGCAGGTCCACTGTGACATTGTGCCTCTAATTACTACCCGCTGCTTCCTGTCTGTTAACCAGTTTTCAGTCCAAGCTGCTACAGTTTCTAAAATCCCTGCTGCATTGAGCATAAGCAGGAGCTGTTGGTGGGGGACAACATCAAAAGCATTCTGGAAATCTAAGTAGATCACATCATAGGCCTTTTGTGATCAGTTTCTCTTGTAGCTTCCTCAAAAAACTCAAGAATAGTTAAACAGGATTTACCTCTCCTATATCCATGCTGGCTATCCCTCAGAATGTTTGAATCCAGGTAATCTACCATTTTCGCTTAGATCATAGCTTCCATTACTTTTCTAGTTAAACTGATTGGCCTATACTTTGATGGATTACTTCTATCCCCTTTATGAATATGGGTGTTATATTAGCATGCTTCCAATCAGAATGTACCACACCAGCAGATAAGGATTTCTGAAATAGTAAATGTTGAAAAATAATATCCCCTTCTCTTTTAAAACTATAGGCAAGATGCTTTCCGGACCTTGCAATTTATTTATTTTGAGATTATTTGTTCTGTTAGCTTATGGGTATGCGTGTGTGTGTCTTGCTGTGCAGGCACTGGTGCTGCTCCTCTCTGCAGCTGTGAGGCTTCCTCACCTTGGATTTGTACCACTCCTCTGCCTCCTGCATGTTCTTGGAGGCAATGCTCTCATATTGGGTCCGGATGTCTCTGAGGGCACTGGTCAGGTCAGGCCTGGAGGAATCCACTTCCGTCTTCACCTGCATGCTTTGTACGCTCACTTGGACATCCTGGATTTCCTGACAAGAGCAGAGGGCAGGGTGGAGTCATAGCAGGCCAAAAAAACACCTGAAGATCATTTACCAGTTTGGCAAAGAAGGTGAGAGAGAAACCAGAGGCCTGTGGGTGAAACTGCCTATGCTCTTAGTTCCTTGCCTGGAGCTTTGTGCTACGTGACTCAGAGTTAAAGGTTTGCATGCCAGCTGATTTTACAGTTTATGAAACAGGGCAGGGAGGCACCTCACACACAGATGTCAGAGCTGCACCAACCTCGTCATGCAGCTTCTTCAGGAACTCAATCTCATCCATCAGAGACTCGATCTTCCTCTCCAGCTCCAGACGGGACAGAGTTGCATCATCCACGTCCTGAAGGAGAGTGACAGGCATGAGATTGACAGGCTGTGGTGCTCAGAATCACGTCACTGCTTTACAGATCGCTCCTCAGTTTACATAGTTCGCTCCTCAATTTCCACACAAGTTTAGCCGGTATACGACCCACGGAACCGTTCATCACGTCAATCCGGCATGGTTACCTTGCGGAAGAGGACCAGGTTGTTCTCAGCTTCTGCTCTTTTCTGGGCTTCTTCCTCAAACCTGGAGTAGAGAATGTGGTGTAGATTACAACTACTGCTGTAAATGTATTCCCAGTGTCTATCCACATTGTTACCCCTCTCTCTAGTACGGATCTGTGCCTTAATATGTCATTAGTGCCTCTAGAATGTATTAAAGCAGGGGTGGAGAAGCTGTTCCATGGAGGGTCTTTGTGGGTGGGGGTTTTTGGGATGACCTTTCAATCAGGAATAATAAAACAATGGTTCTCAACTCCAGTCCTGGGGACCCTCATTTTCATTCCAAAAACCTGCACCCACAGCAGCCCTTCCCATCCCTGTATTAAAGTTTAAAATCAATGCAACATAAAGAATTTAACACTATTACACAAGTACAATGATATAAAGGGATTTAATTATTTTTTAACTAAAATGGCCTAAAGATTTTAACACACCCTGACTTGTATATACATAACTGAATTGCTAACACATTTTAAAAAGGGACATCACGACGATTTTATGTACTTGTATGTACTTGTATGTACTTTATGCAATGTCATTTTATTTATTAAAAATTTGTTTAAAGACACACCCATCAGGAAGGGTGGAACAAAGAGGCAAACACGGCTGACTTTAGTTCGGGAGCACAGGCCTCTTTGGAAGGTAGCAGCTGGTATCGAGCTAGAGAATCAATCTGTCCGCTTACAATTTAGTTAAAAGGGTCAGCTGAGGTGACAAAGGTGGGGTCATCCACACAATAGCACATCCTGCTGATTATACTAAGTGCCATTAGCCCTTTGTTCCCCAGCTGTTCCACCCCGACCTAAACAACGGGTGCCTTTTATTATAAAATAAAATTTAATAAAGGAAACAATGTGTTTCTTGCCTTGTCCTGTCCAATAACTGCTCAGAAGCCAAATGTTAATTACCAGATTGAACACACAGAATTAATTGTCATACATTATCATTTTGGAATCTTAGTTCTAAATACTAGGTTATATTTAATCTATGAATATAAGTACGTACATATGCACCTAGGTATACACGTACCAACCAGCACCTGCTTGGTAACACTTGTATATAATACCCAGAACACCAGGATTCTTTTTTTTAATTCATTTTAGCAGTTATGCATCATTTATAATTTGCAAGCAGAAATACGAGCCGTGCCTCTTTCAAAACCCTAACAACCAGCACAGTAAACTTTGTCCAATCTGCCCACAAACTGCCCTTGGCTGTGAAAACTTCTCGAGGATCATGTCTGTGACTCTATTGTCGATGACAGAAAGTCTGCCTTTTTCCATTTGTCAAGAAGGGCTATATCCACCCCCCCTTCTTCTTACATCAGCTGTGGTGGGGGGGGGGGGGGCAGCAGAAAGGGCAAAGGGGCAGCGCCCATCATCCTAATGGCAATTTTGGCACGTCAGCCAGTCACGCCAGGGAACCGAACACCATAATGGGAGGTCTCAGATGGAGCCCCATTGATTTTCCCAGATGCTATTTTCTGCACATAGCCACACCCCACCCTCTCCCTCTCGCCCCCCCCACAGCCTCTCCCTGCTGTGCACCTGATAACCCCCTCTACTTGTACTGTCATCCTCTCAGGCTGGATGAGGTCACCGTCTCCCATTTTCCTCAATTTGCGCATATTATAAAACGTCTCTGTTTTCGTCCACATCATGTCATGTATACACCAACTTTCAAAAGTGATGCCATTTTTAAACATAATGCATGAATGCTTGCTTCCTTTGGTTTGATTATTGTTATTGCTATTTTTTATATATTGTTACCAAGGGTATAAATTCTGTTAAATGTGTATTCTTTTCTTAAACAGGTAGAACATATCTTTGTAGGTATATAAAGATAATAGAACAGAATGTCTTTAACAAAGCATAAATGCAGAATAGTTTTCTTGGTTCATAATACATATATGAGAAACTCAGTAGTAATGGCTCACTGTTTTATTTGGTTAGTAGATGCTTGCATCCACGGCTTTTAAATGCTCAGTAAATGCTCAGTGGATGGATGGATGGATGGATAAACACTGGAAACTGATGAATTATGTTTTAGGCCACAACTCTTTCCAACTTTGACAATGCATTAACGCATTGCTGAATAGGTACCGTGTGGACGTGCCCCTGAGTGGTGGGGTGGGGTGCTGCAGTTCTGTGGACAAAGGGCCACGCCCCCCCTCTCTGCCCCGGGGGCTGCATGGGGCGTGGTCCTGGGAAAGCAGAAGGGGAAGCCCTGGCAGGCCCTGCTTGCTGTGATGCAAAGGCTGGCTGAAGGGCTTGACTGGAAAGACAGAGCCCACAGACACAAACCAATGCTGTCTCAACATCTCCACCCTGCACAGCATCTTCTAGCCAAGGTCTATCTGTCACTAGCTGAGGGTTAATGAAGTAGAACATACAGCAGTATATGGCAGGAGTTTAGCTTTCAGATGATGAGCAGACCAACCAAGATTGTCTCCCTCTGACACCCCTGCAGTACCCACCCCCCCCACCCCCCCAGCACTCACCTCTGTTTGAGGTGTGACACGTCCTCAGCCAGATTATCCCGCTCCACCTGGTACTGGTCCCTCTCCTTGCCCATGGCGTCGAGCTGCCGCCGTAGCTCACGCATCTCCTGCTGGAAGAGCTCGCTGGCCCGGCTGGGCTCCTGCTGGGTCCGGAACTGCGTCAGCTCCGCCTGCAGACCGGCGTTCTGCTGCTCCAAGTAACGCACCTTCTCGATAAAGTTGGCGAAGCGGTCGTTCAGCTCCTGCAGCTCCGCCTTCTCGTTGCTGCGCGTGGCCAGGAACTCCTGGTTGACGGCCTCCGCCAAGGAGAAGTCCACTTTGTCGTATGAGAGGCGTGGGGCGGGCATGCTGGAGCGCGCCCTGAAGCCCACTGAGCGAGACGAGGCCAGCGGCGCCGAGCTCAGATAGCGTCCCCCAGAGACGGACACCCTGGACGACACCGGAGTGTACAGCGGCATGGGAGAGGCAGCCCCAAAGGTACGCCGGTAAGAAGTAGAGGTGCGGACCGTGGAGTGGCTCATGGCTTCTCGACTTTTTCTTCCTGGGGTTTGGAGAGCTTTCTGGACCAGGCGGACAGGGTCTGAAGCAACAGGACCATCTGAGGAGTTGTGCAGAGCTTTTATACTCTATGTCTGGAG